ATAAATACATTCACCAACTTTTGTTAAAATAAAATCATTTAAATTGGGTGTTCGGATTTATATGTCACTTAGTATACATTGACAATCCCAACTCTGGTTATTTCAAAAAAAGTAGATTTTTTTAGGTAGGCCTTGAAATTATCAGATACTCATTTGTTTCACATACCAGGTTCATCCCAAAATCACTTTTATTTTTTCCGATTTTATTTGAGATAAGCTATCAAAATAAATTATATACATGTTGTCATTGTAACATATTCTCCTCTACAAAATAGCCCATCACCAATTTTTTTTGTATATGAGCGCTGTATTGTAATTTTGTACATTTCAGTCCTAAATTCAGCGATGTATTTCCTTAGTCGGAAATGAACTTGTTGTTGGACGAAAATTACAAGGAAATTAAAAGGTATGGTGAAACCTGAACAAAAAGTATACATGTTATTGGTGTTAATATCAATAATAATCATAAATGAGCAGGAGTAGGTCATAACAGATGTTCAAAATGTTATACGAGTACGTTATTTTGTAGCCAAAACCTGTTTCTTCTTTGTATATTCCAGTGTCCAGTGCTCGATTTATTTGTCTTCTTCTCAGTCTTCCAAACTATGTTGCTATGGTCAATTTGACGTCTGGTCTGGTATACGAAACAAATGAAATCTGATAGTTTCAAGGCCTACCTAGGAACTTCTGTTTTTTCTGGAATGCCAATATATGACATACGTATATTATGCATTTTTGAAATCAGAATCATAAACTCCATTCATCTATGCGAAAACCCAATATGGCGAGTTAATGATGGAGAACAAAAGGCGAAACGTCATATTAAATTCTTCTAATCATGCGTTCTTGTGGAGAAGAAAAATAAACGATTTTGGGAAATTTAGAATTTAGAACGACCTGTAAACAAACAACGTATCTTCTTAGTAGCTCTATTAGAGAAGTTAAGTCGTTCGTTAAAAAGTACGAAGTCGAAATAATTTTTTTAGTTTTGGCGTTGTGGAAACGCAATTACTTTACAAATTTTAGGATGAATGAGTAACGTACAGTTCAGGTGCTCTCACAGTATTTTTGGACTCTCCCTCACGAAAGATACAGCTACATCCGACGTGACAAAGTGATAGTTCACAAAAAAATTGGAAAATTCGTCCAGAACGTGATAAGAATTGTGTAGCGTTTTGGGATATGGTGAGCGGCTGCCAATATCACTCCAGTAATTTATTAGTTTACCAGCTGTACTTTCACATAGAATATACGTGCCTTTCTGAACATCTATAAATAACTTCATTTATAATATGCACATGATAAAATCAATATATCGGAGGCAAGACACAAATATCACTGCATCACCTTGAAACGACCAGACGAGTCCAAGCGGTATAGTTATTATGCGTATATTTTAAAAACTAGATCCAAGGAAGTACATGTAAACGAGCTTACGATGTTTGCATTGAACTTAGCTAGACAGCGTATCTCATTACAAGGAACCGCAATTATTAGACATGCTTTCATCAGTGGCAGAAAGGTAGCCTTGTCAAGTCCAAGAATATTGTTGCTTTTTCATTGGTATCTTCTGGGTTAAAGCAGTTCGCAAAACATACGGATCAAGGAAAATATTCTAATATTAAGAAATTTTGGATATTGCTGAATAAGCTAAAAAGCATAAGCGGCAGTTTGTGGACACTATACTACAACTATTTAAAACTGTAATGACTCATACGCGTGATCAACACGTGATCAGAGCTCGATCCCGGCTTCCTTCCAGTACAGCCGTATAGCGTACGACATATTTCGTTTCTGTGGCTTTGCGGTGGTCAACAGCACAAACATAGATGGAAATAATGGCTGATTGTTCTCCGCCGGTAGAACCAATGAAATCAAAGACGCGCCTCGACCGGCAGACTCATAGGCGTCGGCAACGCATTGGAACGTGTTTCGTTGAGCGATCGCATATTGTGTGTTTTTATAAGAATTGTTTTGTGATTGTTATTGTTGTGGTTTCTGTGGTTACTGTTTTGGTTATACTTAACAATGGAGAGTACAAATGGCACGAGTGGAAGTACTGAAAGCCAGGGAACAAGTAGACGGCTTCGTAAAGCACTGAAGAGGGACGCGAAAGAAATCGTGCTCAACGTGTTCAATTATCTGAATAGAACTATGTCGCAGGGAGATGCACTCGCGCGTTGTGAAAGTATGACAGGCGTTCCAGAGTGGACCATTCGCAGGGTGGTGCATGAAAAGAAGAAAACTGGAGCTACTACTGATCCAAAGTTTAATTTGAATGGACGAAAGGCCGTTAAATTGGATGACGATAGCAAAATGGCGTTAAGGCGAACCGTACATTCATTCTTCTTTAGGAATGAGATACCAACGCTCAAGGGTGTACATGCAGCGATCAAGGAAAATGAAATTATACCCCAAATGAGCGTCGAGGTAATGAGGAAATCCCTGCGCGAAATTAATTTTCGTTACGAAACGCGTAATCGGAAGTCAGTATTGATAGAGAGACCTGAAATAGTCACCTGGCGTCGAAAATACCTACGCGAAATGATTGAATATAGGTGACAAAGCAGAAAAATCTATTATTTAGACGAGACATGGGTAAATGCAGGTCACACAGTTAAAAAACCTGGATAGACAAAAACGTAGTGAGTAACCGACAAGCAAGCATTGAAGCTTTGTCAAGAGGCCTTCGTGGACAGTCAGGGAAAGGTCAAAGATTGATCGTAACTCATATTGGTAGCGATAGTGGCTTTTTAGAAGAGTGTGACTTGATTTTCGTCTCTAAGAAAGGAGGTGATTACCATGACGAAATGAATGCCAGCTGCTTCGAGAGCTGGTTTCAAGGGGTGCTTCAGCGAGTTGAGCCCAACTCTGTGATCGTCATGGATAATGCTTCCTACCATAGTCATCGAGCCGAACGTGTACCGACTATGGGATCTCGAAATAGTGACATGCAGCAATGGTTGCGCGAAAAAGGAATCCCGTTTGACGATTCATGTGTGAAAGCGGAATTGTATGAAAAATTAAACAGCACAAACCTGCGAACATTAGTTACGTGACTGATGAGATGGCCCGTCAATGTGGTGTCACTGTGCTGCGGTTACCGCCCTACCACTGTGAACTGAACCCAATAGAGCTCATCAGGACCGGTATTCTCGTTCTTTGGCGTGAAAGCGATACGTTTTCAAAACGCTTAGCGCCTCATGTCGTACGGCAAAGCGCTAAGCCTTCGGTTTTGGTATTCACGTTGCTGTGCGAACGCTTCGGGTTCAAAACGCTTGGCACATATTGGCAACGGTGGTTGTTCCAGTGTTACCAACATATTTGTCTCCAATGTCACCAATGTTATATAACCACAGTACTAAAAAAGTTTCTATTTCTGGCATTATGATGGTTGTCACTTGTCAGATGCGTTTTGTCAGTGTCACTCGAGTTTCGAAATGTCTCGTAAACAAATTTCCATTTTACAAAAAACTATGCTAATTGATTTCCTGGAAGACCACCCGGAATTGGTGTCTCAAAAACAAACAAACCAATACACCAGCGCAGACGCCCGCAAGTTATGGGTGGAGTTGAGCGAAAAGTTAAATGCAATTCCTGGGGCCACTAAGCAATGGACTGAATGGAGAAAGGTACATGTAACATATTTGCAACTTTGTATTGAATTAATATGCTATTGACGGACATAGATCCATAGTTAGGAATGGTACTTCTGTTGTAATAACGAATTCACTAGAATACTAGGATCTATCGTTAAAACACGGCAATAGAGACTCGAGTCAGTTTGATTGTTACTCAGAATATTTGTTGTATATGAAGAGGGTCGGTTTTTAATACTCCAGTTTTCCTTTTCTAGACCTGGACAGATATGAAAACCAGAGCAAAAAGGAAGAAGTCAGAAAATAAAAAGGACGCTAGCCAGACCGGAGGTGGACCAAGCTTGGCAGAGAGCTTGAATGAAATCGATGACAAAGTCTTGGAAATAATGGGTATGGTCATAATTCTTATATGGGTGACTAATATTTTAGTCATTCGTTAAATGTTTTTATTAGGTGACAGTTTTTTTCTTAATATTGATACTCAAAGTATGGATCTACTGTGATTTAAGTGTTGATGAGATTTATTATTCATTTAAACAATGTAAATGATCTACATAGTTGTGCCTATCTTGCTCCATTGTAGTATCTCCATTACTTTCAGTAAATGTAAAAGCTCTTTTGTATTCTAGGGGGAGAAATCTTAATTGAAGGGCTCCAAGTGCCAGAATTAGGATTATTATACACCTTACCGAAAGAAGCTGAGGTTGGCGAAGTGCCTGTATGCAAAAGTTATCCTGTACATGATAATGATGACAAGGACAAGGAAAACCTGTGTCCAAATAATATTAAGGAAAAGAACCTTAAACGCGTGAGACCACCACATGGCACTAAAAGGTGTAGGCAGACAAATTCAATACCATCATCAGTTCAGGCCGCGAACGATTTAGTTGCAGCACACCTGCAACTAAATCAAATAAAGGAAAATTATTATAAAAAAAAATTGAAGTTTTAGAAAGAATTGCTTCTAGTTCAGAAACAATTGCTAAAAAGTATGCATCATAGCTTCTTTTGTTTGTTTTTGTCTGTATTTTTATTTTATATATTTTTTATGATCAGAGTATAAGGTTTTGTTGTGATGAGATGTGTGGTATAGTTAAAAATAAAGTTATCTTTGTTCTAGACTACTCTTTTATTGTGATAAATATACTATAGTGTATCCATTCATTTATTTCAAAAATAAGTTCTCGCTAGGAAATTTCGTATGTGTCGACCCCTCTCCAAAAAATTATTATGTGGCAAGTTGCCCCTCTCTTCTGCCAAGGCGTCACTGAAGTTGTTACCATCACCTACATCTTCCTGATCATTATATAATGGAATATTATTTTCTAAGCATAAGTTCTGCAACACGGCACAACTGTTTACGATTTTTGCACAAGTTTCTGGTGCATAATGTAAACTCTATCTTTCAGTAGACACCTAAATCTGTTTTTTAATAACCCAAAGCATTGTTCTATGGAAACCCGGATATGCTTAATTTTTTTATTGAACCTTGATTCTGGAGTGTCTTGAGGTGGTTCTGGTAGGTAAGGGGTTATCAACCAGGGGCGTAGAGGGTATCCAGAGTCACCTTAAAAGAAAATACTATCTTTTAGTAGATCCAAGGGTACAACATATAGACATATTTCACCTAGTAAGTAGAAGCTGCCCATATATTCTTCAGACAATGTTCTCAAAAATTCCCCGACTCGTGACTGACTCCATATAAAACTATCATGGGTGCTGCCAGGAAAGCGACTGTTTACGTTCATTATTTTCAAATTTTCATCACATATCTGCAATAAACAAGTGTCAAGTATGCAGGTTGACTTTGGTGCAAAATTTCAGTTGTAATCTATGCAGAGTCAGAGAAAATTTGATTAGGGGTTGACGCTTTGTGCATTGAAAGTTTCTTTATATGAGAAATTAAAATTATTCCATGCATTTATGGATGTAAGGGTAGCTTACCATCTGTACATTGAGGGAATGGTAATGTTTCCTATTGATATATATATGTTCATTTTCGATTGGGCACACAATACCTATGTGAGTGCAATCAATACAGCCTATAATTCCAGGTACCTGGTACTTTGCGAAAATCTAGACAAAATAAAATCAATATAGGTACAGCTTGACCATCAAATTTTGATCATCTTATTGAATAGCTTTGAAGAAATGTAGTGTAGGACAACATCATGATAGTTCCTCATATATATTTATAATTCTAAATTGAAATATACCTTTCTCTGGTGTTGGTTAACTCTTGAATTGTGTTTGGAAAATGGACATATCTATTCAATATTTCTGTAGTGTTGAATGCTCCCAACACCTCATGTAAAGTTCTTGAAATCGATGGCTGGCTGAGAGTTACTGTATGATTTCTGCCTACATCCAGCTGGTAGCTTCCACTTGCAAAGAAACGCAAGGCAGACAGTATCTAAAACATTAATGTACACTAGGTTGTTATAATGCAAATATCACTATTTTATCAATCGTATATATAAGATTTTTTGTCAATCTTGGAAGTACAAGTACTTCATTATTATTGTTACTTACCTTCGTGCGATTACGTATCGCGTGCGATCTAGGATGTACTGGTAAAAATGGCTGTAACATTTCTTCCAAATTTTGCACGTCCTGTTTTCGCAGACGATATAATTTCACAAAATTAAAGTCAGAGAATTCGAACGGATCATCGGCATTGAATCTTTGCCTCTCCACATGCTCAATAATCCGGATTAAATTAACCCCAGCCAACTGATATGCCATTACTAGGTATACTTTGGATATAATTATCTAAATATGAGGGCCACAGTAGCCTCAATTACAACAAAAATCACGATCTAAATAAGAATTCTGACAGTAGTGTCAGTACTCATAACGAAAGCGATAAGCAAAACACCGACCACTTGGTAGTCGTTTTGAAAGCGACAAGCGCTTTTCAAAAAGCTGAGCGTTCGGGCAACGGGAATACCATATTTTGGCAAGTGCGTCGAAAGCAAGTGCAAATGACGACATATTCGCTGAGCGACTGGAAAACGCTTAGCGTTTTGGAGAACGAGAATACCGGTCCTGGGCTCAAGTGAAGGGTTATATTGCGCGCCATAACACAACCTTCAAATTACCAGACGTTAAGGTTTTACTTGAGACTTCCATACAGCTAGTAACGCCCGAAACTTGGCAGAATTCTATCCGTCATGTTGTGAAGGAAGAAACAAAAATGTGGCAGCTTGACCACCACATCGACACCATCATAGAGCCAGTTATAGTCAATTTCAACGAGGAAAGCGATAGCGACAGTTTATTACTGTCAGATGTAAGTGGAAGCGACGATGAATAAAGGTAATTCCAAATTTTTTACTTACAATATGTTTCAAACCACTCTTTATTGAGCATGTGACAAATCTAGTTCACCCATGTTAATCATTCATACCCCGCCTATGAACAGCCGACTACTGGTAGTTAAGTAATGTTCACGTGAACATCGATGAGTCATTACAGTTTTAGATAGTTATAGTATAGATACACAACATTGAGAAAATAAATGCAAGGAGGATCGTACAGACAAAGAGTGTGCCTCCTGAGATACTTATCCTATGATTTTCTTGTTGATTCAGCTCTTGTCTGAATCAAAACCACATATATGTTTAGATTTTAGTTTATAGTACGACGTTTTGAACAACTGAGGTCTTTTTTGAGTACAAATTGACATCTGTAACAACCTATTTTCTTTTCTCTGTTCCAGGCAACATTTCGTTTTGGAGGGTAACTAACTAATCGCGAAAAATTTCGAAAATGAGATATAATTTTGTCTGATAGTCTTATGATAACTTAGAAAGTACCTCTCGGATTTCGATTAAGTTTAAGAGAAAAAAGGCCAAAAACGAAAAAAAATAAAAATCATCAAACTTTGTTTCTTTGACGTTTTAGAGGGTCCTGACCATGTTTAGAAAAAAATTAGTGGGCCTTTAAATTTGGGGGTTGGCGGCTTTAGGTAATTTTGGTAATTAAATGCGGCTATTATACATATTTTCCACATGATAGATTAACCCGTACATTTGCCGTCAAAACGATGAGAAATCTTTTCTTATATACGTTTCCATACTGAAGCGCAAAAGCATACGGACCTTGCACGAAGCGAAAACGAAAGATAATTCGCTGCAGCGATACCGCGCAGATGTGGAAAGGGACAACGTTGCCACATGGGCGGTAACTACCAGTAAGTCAGGGAAAGAATGTCTACGGACTAATTGTATGAGCCTGTTTGACTAACTCGATACGTTTGATTTCTCTGTTGTACACGTTCGTAACTCAATTTTTCTCAGACGATTGCACTGAACTTAAACAGTGCGTATAGATAGACTTCACAGTCGCTCGAGTCATGAATGAAAAGTGAACAGAAGATTGGTACGAGAACCAATCTCTGAGGGATACCGGCTCTGATGGGTCGCTCTGTCAATAAGACATTATTAATTTGATTCAAAATTTATTACTTGAATAGTTGTATGAGCCAAATGGAATGTCCTTTTGGATGAGCTTATAGAGAAGACCCTTGTACCACAGCTTGTGATACGTTCGAGACATCAACAAGCAAGATGCCAGTATCTTAGTTAAGGGTGAAGCCCTGGTAACCCGCTCCACAACCCTGTAATTCCGTACTATACTCAGACCGAAAGCCAAAATGCACGTCAGGAATCACATTGTGATCGGACGTAGAACCATCATTTCAGCGAGCTTAGATGGAGCTGACAGCAGGCTGATTGTACGATAATCCTGGAAAAATATCGAATTGAAATCATTATAACCTCCGCAGTCTCCCACGCCGATGGAGGGTACTGGGTCCTTAGGATGGCATTGGTTAATTGTTATATAATCTTCGACTACAAATGCTGCATGTGCATTGTGTATGCACGTCAGGAATCACATTGTGATCGGACGTAGAATCGTCATTTCAGCTTAGATGGAGCTGACAGCAGGCTGATTGTACGATAATCCTGGAAAAATATCGAATAAAAAATATTGTGTATAGGTCTGAAATGGGAGTATAAATAACGTTTCAACTAGATTTTATTCACAATATCCTCATATTTTGACTTCGAATTTCTACGAGGGATGTCTTTTAAGTTTTCCATATGGAAACATAGTAGGCCACGCGGATCGAACATCAGTACTGAATCTTAACCTCACTCTTTAGTAAACTTAAATTCAAAGTGTCACAACAATACGTTCAGTGTTCTCACTACAGTGAATTTTTCAGTATCACCAAGTCTTTCAGAGACAATTATCGCAACAAGAATGCCTTGCTGAGTTACTGTCTGTTTTCGGCAACGAAGCGTCATGCCTCATGCGTTCTCGAAGTGTTTCGAAAAAGATGGTAGCGATATTTGTGTCAAAAGCGGGTATATTGCAACAATTCCTCTTAATGAGCAAAGACCTGTTACTGCGGATTGGTATACCACCATTTGTCTGCCAAAAGTCATCACCGAGCTTCAAAAAATCAACCCCGAAAGAAGAATCATCCTCCACCAAGATAATGCAAGCTCGCACACAGCCAAAAAACAAGGCAGTATTTAACGGATGAAAACGAGGAATTATTGGACCATCCTCCACATAGGCCCGATCTAAGTCCTAACGATTTCTTTACTTTCCCGAAAATTAAAAACAGACTGCGAGGTCACATTCAAAAATGCCGTTTTGGATCTGCCAGCAAACGAGTGGAATAAGTGCTTCGAAAATTGGTTCGAGCGCATGCAGATGTGTATTAATCTTCGTGGAGAATACTTCGAAAAACAATAGTCATTTAAAACTACCTACCGTGTTGTTTTATTTCCATATGCAAAACTTAAAAGACATCCCTTGTATCTTCAAGTGGCGCATTTCCTGGTAGATCTTATAATTTCTTGGAACAAGTGGACGTTTTTTAGCTCTTGACGAGATAAATGCTTATATAAAAATTATACCGCGATATGGTGAAGAGTGACAGACGGAGGAAGAGAGAGTGAGTGAACTTTCCGTATTTCCTGTTAGCCGCAAACTCTAATGTAGAACAAGTTCAAGCGTGCAAGTTTTAATGCAATTCCTGAGAGGGAGTCAGATGCAGTGTGCTAACGCAAAGCATCCGATGCCCTTTTCAGTCTCTTATGTCCTCGTAAAGGGCTGAAATTAATTTCATTTGGCGTGCCGCATACGAATCTCGAAGGATATGAGCAAGAAGACCGGAAAGTGGAGGGTTAGGTCATAAGCTAGGTGTTCACAAGGAGACTGAGATCCCAAGAGATTTTTGCCTTATGAGAAAGGTATCTCGGATGTGAGGATTCCTCTAAAACATTCCAAGTATACTACTTGCAATTTTTGCTCTTACATGAGTCAGTGCGTCTCTGAGCTCAGCTACGCGGGAAAAACACAGAAAGGTACATAAAACTATTGATCATTATCAATTGATTGCGGGTTAAAGATGTCAACAAAGCATAGCGACTGGTTGTTATTATTATCTTGCTGTTCATTTCGAATTTTTAATATGAACATAAGGAGTATAAAACACAACATTGATTACTTAAAAATACTACTCGACCAAATATGGTACAATTTTGATCTAATAGTTTTAACTGAAACGTGGCAAGTGGCTGATATTTCTTGCTTCAATCAGCAGGGATATGACACGCTGTATAACTTTGGCACTTATAACCAAAACGATGGGGTGATAGTTTTTGTAAGAAATAAACTGCAATATAATCATAATACATTCACTTTCACCGATGGAATCAAAATTTTAAACATAATGATTCAAATTACCATAGCAAAATTGAGGTATCTGCAATTTATCGTCCGCCATGTTCAGAACCCCACGGGTTTTTAAAGAATATCGAATTTTTTTTTCAAAATCAAAATAAAGTTCATTTAAAGCAACATATTTTCTTGGGAGATGTCAATATAAATATTTTGGACGACGATCCCATCACAAATGAATACTTGAATATCCTATCAAGTAAACGGATTTCTGTCCTATATAAACCTACCTGCAAGGTCCATCAGTGGCACATGTATAGATAGATCACTGCTTTGTGAAAGACCTATCCAACAAAATTACTTGTATACCAATAATCCTACAAAGCGATATTACTGACCACTTCTCCACTATTTTACTGATATCTTCAAATGAAAAAACATTCTAACATCCCTACCGTTAATAACAACCAGAAAAATTACAAATTTTTTTTGTTCTGGGTTCGATGGTATTAAAAGCGAGCATTTGAAAATTATAGCCGAGGACATAACAGAACCACTCACTTACCTAATCAACAAATGCTTTGAATCTGGCATATATCCCTCAATTTTACAAAAAGGTAATATAATACCGATACATAAATCAGGAACAAAAACAGATGTTAACAACTATAGACCAATATCAATAATATCCAGTGTAGCAAAGGTTTTTGAAAAAGTTTTATCTACTAGAATGATTCGATACCTCACAAAATTCAAAATTTTAAGTGAAAATCAATATGGATTTACAGAAGGGAAGGCTACATCGGACGCAATAACTAAAATTGTAAATCAAATACATCAAAATATTGATAACAGAATCCCTTCAATCTACATTTTTGTTGATTTAAAGAAAGCTTTCGACACAGTTAATCACAAATTATTATTAGAAGCATTGGAGAGAATTGGTTTCAGAGGAAACGGGTACTCACTGATCGAAAGTTATTTGTCAAATCGCCCACAATCTGTGCAGATATCAGGATCATTTAGTAAAGAAATGTATATTAAGTGTGGTGTCCCACAAGGAACTGTCTTAGGTCCGCTGTTATTCAATATATATTTAAATGATATTTTCCAAATTAATTGTGTTGGCAAATAACTAGTTTTGCAGATGATACTGCAATATTATATGAAGGCACTGACTGGTCTGATC